CTTCCCTCTTATTTTCTTCCTCATTCTCCTTCCTGGTGGGACAGTGGTTAAAAGGAAGTATTGCAGGCTATTCTGCCCACTGTCTGGAGTTCGATCCTGACTCAAGGGGCTCAAGGTTGACTCAGCCTTTCCTCCTTCCGAGGTCGGTAAAACGAGGACCCAGATTGTTGGGGGCGACAGGCTGACTCTGTAAACCGCTTAGAGAGGGCTGTAAAAGAACTGTGAAGCAGTATATAGGTCTAAGTACTATTGCTATTCCTCCTTCCCTCCCTCCCTCCCTCCCTCCCTCTCTCCCTCCCTCCCTTCCTTCCTTCCTTCCTTCCTTCCTTCCTTCCTTCCTTCTTTTCTCTTATTCCCTTCCTCATTCTCTTTTCTGGTGGTGCAATGGTTAGAATGCAGAATTGCAGGCAAACTCTGCCCACCACTTGGAGTTCGATCCTGACTGGCTCAAGGTTGACTCAGCCTTCTGTCCTTCTGAATTCGGTAAAATGAGGGCTCAGATTGTAAAGCACTATGGGCCAGTATACAGGTAGTCCTCAACATACGGCCACAGTTGAGCCCGAATTTTCTGCTGCTAAGTGAACTTTCTTGCCCCAATTGTGAGTCACTGCAATTGTTAAGTAACTAAGTCTAAGTACTATTGCTCCTAGTATTACAATATGTGATGACCCGATTTGATAAACTTTTGTCTTAGCCTCACACTCATTTAATCCCACTTTCTTGAATTCGTTAATTAATTTTTTGAACGTGAAGAAGTTAACACCTCCCCACAACGGTTGGAGAGTAGCTGCCCAACACAGGTTAAATGGGGCGTGGTTAGAAAGTTCACACCACAGGGTCCACACTAGTTTTGCACCTTCCAATAACCAGCAACAAATATTTGTTAGAAGAAAGGTCTGCAGTTTTATTTTCTTCCTAACATGCTAGGTTTCTATAGACAGGATGAATACATTTTTCTGCAGCCATCCTCTTGATAGTATGATAACCGATATGTTACTGAAACTTCCTCAGTAAAAAACAAGCCTGTATAGGAAGGTTATTTCAGAAAAGCGAAATTAGTTAGAGAGGGTTATAGGAGTGTAGGAGAAGGAAAGGCAGAAACTGGGGGTGGAGTCAAAAGAGGAATCAGTTTAGCATCCCTACATAGCCACAAACAAGCAAACTCCAGCCTCCCTTGAATTCTGTAGATCCCTATCTAACTGCTAGCAAATTCTCAACTCCTAGTTGAGAAGATTCCTCTGCATAGGCCTTTAATAGTAAATCAGTTTAATTTGACCTTCATTGTGGGGCTGGTTTTCCTTGCCCAACACGGATCTTTGATAGTCAGAAATTCCCTGGAATAACCAAGAAGTTCTTGGTTTTTAGTTTTTTTTCCCCCCAGTGACATGAGATTCTCAGCGAGGGATTAATTATTAAGTGAAGCGAAAGACAGCTGCTTAAATAGAGAAGAGATTAATTCAAGCATGACCCATAACTCTCAGCTTTTTGTGAACAGAACGGCAACGGGACTCACTGCGTCTGCTTTGCTCTGCCTCCACAAACGAGGGACATCGCAAACCTGCATGAACATCCCTTTTAAGTTCGCAATGACCACAGCTGCCAAAACAGACTACAAAGAGAAAAAGAAACATTAGCATTGTTATTTTCTTTTTTTAAAAAAAGTAAAAAACTGTTTGAGAGACTCCAAAGAAGATACAGGTAATCCTCGACTTACAACAATTCATTTAGGGACAGTTCAAAGTTGCAACGGCACTGAAAAAAACGACTTTTGACCGCATTTCACACAACTCTTGCAGCATCTCCTTGGTCACGTGATCAAAATTCAGACGCTTGGCAAGTGGTTCATACGTACGACCGTGGCCGTGTCCCAAGTTCATGTGATCATCTTTTTGTGATCTTCTGACAAGCAAAGTTGTTGTGGAATTGAAGGACACAAGCCAGCTCTTTGGAGAAGGAAAGTTTATTATGCGCAGGTTCAGATGGCCAAAGCCAACAAAAAGATCTGAACCCCGAGGAGCGTCCAGAGTACACATATATAGGTTATACAACGTATGCATTTCCTGATCCCTCTAGATCCCATATATGGTAATATGTTAAACATTGTGATCTCAGCATTCCTGATGGTATGGAAAAGTACCAGACAGTTGAACATTGACACAGAGATATAAAATAGTGAATTGGCTACTAAGCAAAACAAAAACAGGATATGGGTGAAATATGGCTGAAGCAGTCAAGGACAGTGTGAGAGAGCATTATCTCCAGACTCAGCAATTTCTGGAATGCCTCGTGACTTTCCACCTCAAAGTCACGGGGGTACCCTTAACAACCGGGTTACTAACTTAACCACTGCAGTGATTCACTTAACAACTGTGGCAAGAAAGGTCATAAAAAGGGGCAAAATTCACCTCACAAATGTCTCACTTAACACAGAAATTTTGGGCTCAATGGTGTTCGTAAAGTGAGGACTACCTGTACAAGCGGGGGTTTTGGGGGAGTGGTTAAAAATGTCAAAATGGTGCTTGCATCTGTAGCCCCTTGTTTATGTCCATGTTTTTTACATTTTACAAAAATGTACATTTTACATTGTACAAAAAATGACAATAAAGGTTACCTAATCTAATCTAATCTAATCTAATCTAATTTAATCTAATTTCCTACGAATGCCTCTGGGTAGATAAATTCAGACAAGTCCTCTACTTCTGACCGAAATTTCACTTGCTATGAAGCAAGTTATCACCTCACCAGACCCAATTTTACCACCATTTCTACCAGAGTCATTAAAGCGAATCATGAAGTTGTTCAGCAAATCCAGATTCCTCAAATGACTTCCTAGCTGGGAAGATCATAAATTGCGATCATGTAACTGCAAAATCAATCCGAATAGAAGCTGGAAGGGACCTTGGAGGTCTTCTAGTCCAGGCCCCTGCTCAAGCAGGAGACCCTCTACCATTTCAGANAACTTCTGGTGGCAAGTCGTTCCACTGGTTAATCATCCTCACTGTTAGGAACTTTCTCCTTAATTCCAGGTTGCTTCTCTCCTTGATTAGTTTCCATCCATTGCTTCTTGTCTTGCCTTCTGGTGCTTTGGAAAATAAGTTGACCCCCCTCTTCTTTGTGGCAGCCTCTCAAATACTGGAATACTACTACCATGTCCCCTCTACTCCTTCTTTTCTCTAGACTAGCCAAACCCAAATCCTGCAACCGTTGTTCATAAGTTTTTGTCTCCAGGCCTTTCATCATCTTAGTTGTTGCAAGTGTTGTAGGTGGGAGTCAGTTATCCAGTGCCTGAATTGCAGTCATGTGATAGTAAGGGCGGTGCACCTGTTGTAAATTGTAAGCCGTGTTTTCTGAGGCTGTTGTAACTTTGAACCATTTTTAAATGAATGGTTGTAAATTTAAGGATCACCTTTTATTTTATTTTTATTTTATTTTATTTATTTTATCCCCATAACAGTAGCTGACCTAATATTAAACAAACAGTAGCACAAAATATTAAACAAATGGTAAAATATATCAGAATAAAATACCTTTTGCAGCGGTTCCAGCAGCTTCCCCAAAGCTACAATAGCAATTAATACAATAAGTGCTGATATTATACCGGCCACCTGAAAATAAAATATTGGGAATCATCAAGAAAATAAATTTGTTTTCAGAAATATTTATGCAAAGGGGCTAGTTTACACACTTAGTGAGCTATTTTCAGTAGAGAGTTTGAGTTGTCAAAATAATATTCTGACAGAATCAGAGATTTTTTTACAAGGAAATGTGATTTCAAAACCCTATTTGAAAACTTGATATTTTTAAAACTAAGCTTCATAGTCGTATACCAATAAGGATGTCAGATCTACACATGCATGTTTAATATGCAACAGGAATTAAAATGTTGGGAGAGACAGACAGATCTAGGAGAAAAATGTGTGGGTCTACAGCAGGGGTATCAAACTGCCGGCCCATGTGCCGGATGCGTCATTGGGAAACCATGCCCACCCCATTGCCAGCAATGACAAAAAAGCTCTGATACGTTGCGCAACGTCACGTAACGTCGCGGGTTTGACATGTCTGGTCTACAGGAACAAGCAAAGCTGACAAGATAAGAAAGTCAACTCTGACCCTAACCCTAACCCTAACCCTAACCCTAACCCTAATCCAAAATCTAATGCTAATCCTAACCCCAACCCCAACCCCAACCCTAACCCTAACCCAAAGCCTAATCCTAATCCTAATCCTAATCCTAATCCTAACCCTAATCCAAAGCCTAATCCTAATCCTAACCCCAACCCCAACCCCAACTCCAACCCCAACCCCAATCCTAATCCTAATCCCAACCCCAACCCTAACCCTAATCCTAACCTTAACCTAGGGGTAGGTAACCTTGGCTCTTTTATGACTCATGGACTTCAACGCCCAGAATTCCTGAGCCAGCCACGCTGAAGGGAAAGGGAGAGGTTTCCAAGCTGAGCCATACTGGCTCAGGAATTCTGGGAGTTGAAGTCCACGAGTCTTAAAGTTGCCAAGGTTGAGGACCCCTGATATAGGGCAGGGGTGGGGAACCTGGGTTCTTTTATGACTCGTGGACTTCAACTCCCAGAATTCCCGAGCCAGCCAGTTGAAGTCCACGAGTCATAAAAGAGCCAGGGTTCCCCGCCCCTGTCTTAGGCTAAAATCCTACGCAACTAGGATCAACCATTAGATGACTTGTTCAAAATCTGCTCCAGCAAATCAGTTCCAAGAATGATGGGCAGGCCGTAGACGTCCCTTCCTTCTGGGCCAGGTAAATACCTGAGTTTTTCCACCTGTGCTTTCTTGGACCGCAGTGCGAGAGAGCGCGGTGGTTGCAGCAAAGCAAGAAAAGGCTCCTGAAAAGATATTGCTGATTCCAAAGGCGATAAATTCCTAGAAGGTTAGAAAACGGGAATAAACAAACCGTGCGTAAAACACAAAAGTCCTTCATTATACGTGGAAATATTTTATTAGAACAGGCTCAGAGAAACTACAGGTGGCCCTCGACTTACGACCACAAAAGAAGACCAGAATTTCTGTCGTTAAGCAAGGCAGTGGTTAAGTGAGCCTTCCCCATTTTTACAAACTTTTATGACCCAAAGTGAATTGCTGCCATTAAGTGAATCATCACTGTCGTTAAGTGAATCGCCACCATCGTTAAGTGAATTGCCACCGTCGTTAAGTGAATCACAAGGTCATTAAGTGAATCTGGCTTCCCCCACTTGTCAGAAGCTGGCTGGGAAGGTGGCAAACGGCGATCACGTGACCCTGGGACGCTGCAACCCTCGTAAATACATGCCTGTTGCCATGGAGCTAAATTTTGATCAGGGGCTGCGACGGTCGTAAGTGAGAGGACCAGTGATAAGTCACTTTTTTTCAATGTCACTGTGACTTCGAAGGATTGCTAAATGATGTTGGGAATTACAAGACTGAGGTCTTCTGGAACAGCTCAGATTTACTCAGCCCTGGGGTTCGCCATCCTGCTTGTCAACCCTGGCCCCTTTAAGATGGGTGGGGAATTCTGGGAGTTGAAGTCCAGACCTCTCGGAAGTTCCTCAAATGGGCTTGGGAATTTTGGACTGGAACATTGAATTCACTTCACTTCACTTCGCTGTATTTTTACTTTATTTGGTTCATTTGCATGGCTGCTTCATTTCACTTCACTTCACTTCATTTTATTCATTTACATGGCTGCTTCACTTCACTTCACTTCATTTTTGCTTTATTTTATTCATTTGCATGGCTGCTTCATTTCACTTCACTTCACTTCATTTTACTCATTTACATGGCTGCTTCACTTCACTTCATTTTTGCTTTATTTTATTCATTTGCATCACCGCTTCACTTCACTTACCTTCATTTTTAATTTATTTTATTCATTTGCATGGCTGCTTTACTTCACTTCACTTTATTTTTACTTTATTTTATTCATTTGAATGGCTGCTTCACTTCACTTCACTTCATTTCACTTCACTTTATTTTATTCATTTGCATGGCTGCTTCACTTCACTTTTGCTTTATTTTATTCATTTGCATCACCGCTTCACTTCACTTACCTTCATTTTTAATTTATTTTATTCATTTGCATGGCTGCTTTACTTCACTTCACTTTATTTTTACTTTATTTTATTCATTTGCATGGCTGCTTCACTTCACTTCACTTCATTTCACTTCACTTTATTTTATTCATTTGCATGGCTGCTTCACTTCACTTTTGCTTTATTTTATTCATTTGCATCACCGCTTCACTTCCCTTCCCTTTATTTATACTTTATTTTATTCATTTGCATGGCTGCTTCATTTCACTTCACTTCACTTAATTTCACTTCACTTTATTTTATTCATTTACATGGCTGCTTTACTTCATTTTATTTTTACTTCATTTTATTTATTTGCATGTGCTTCACTTTATTTTTACTTCATTTTATTCATTTGCATGTGCTTCACTTTATTTTTACTTTATTTTATTCATTTGCATGGCTGCTTCACTTCACTTTGCTTTATTTTATTCATTTGCATGGCTGCTTCACTTTATTTTTATTTTATTTTATTCATTTGCATGGCTGCTTCATTTCACTTCATTTTTACTTCATTTCACTTCACTTTATTTTATTTTATTCATTTGCCTGGCTGCTTCACTTCACTTCATTTTTACTTCATTTTTACTTTAGGTTACCCATGTGCATGTCTGCCCACCTCTATTCATGTGGTGGTTGTGTTAATCTCCCGTTCTCTACCAGCTGCCAACTTCAGCTATAAATTTTAATATTCTAACCAAAAAAACCCAGCTAGATATGCAGGTTCCTTTATTTAGTGCCTTAAAGAAAACTCAGGTTAGATGGCATTTCCCTGTTCTTCGGGAATCCGGCCCCGTTCTCCATACCTGATTTCCATCAATGGAATAATCATACTTGGTGGCGTATACTTTCCCCACCGAGACGGCGATAGCGTAAGCGACAATCGCAATGGAAAATGACGAGGCCAACATCTCTCCAAACTTCTCCACCGCTGGAGGTTGAGGAGGCAAAAATCTGAAGAGGAAAAGGAGCAGGAGAGAAATGCATATGGATAATTGTATAGATCATGGGTAGGCAACCTTGGCTCTTTTATGACCGGTGGACTTCAACTCCCAGAATTCCTGAGCCAGCCACGCTGAGGGGAAAGAGAGAGGTTTCCAAGCTGAGCCATGCTGGCTCAGGAATTCTGGGAGTTGAAGTTCACGAGTCAGAAAGCGGCCTAGGCCAGAGGTAGGCAACCCTGGCTCTTTTATGACTGGTGGACTTCAACTCCCAGAATTCCTTGAGCCAGCCACGCTGAGGGGAAAGAGAGAGGTTTCCAAGCTGAGCCATGCTGGCTCAGGAATTCTGGGAGTTGAAGTCCACGGGTCATAAAAGAGCCAAGGTTCCCCACCCCTGGTATAGATAGATAATCCTTGACTTACAAAGTTTGCTTAGTGACAGTTCGAAGTTACAATGTGACTCATGACCATTTTTCCACATTTACAACCGTTGCAGCATCCTCATGATCATGTGATCAAAATTCAGAGGCTTGGCAACTGACATGTACTTGTGACGGTTGCAGCATCCTGGGGGGTCACGTGATCCCCTTTTGCGACCTTCTGACAAGGAAAGCCAATGGGGGAAGCCAGATTCACTTAACCGTGTTACTAATTTGTTAATTCGCTTAACAATTGTAGTAAGAAAGGTCGTAAAATGGGCCAAAACTCACTTAAGAACTGTCTCACTTTGCACCATTAATTTTGGGATCAATTATGGTCGAAAGTCGAGGACTACCTGTACATATTATTTATTTATTATTTTTATTTTTATTTTTATTATCTGCACTCACCCTCTAGGAATAGTTTTCACAATCCCCGCATTGTATTTCTTCTCAAGGTCCACTCCGTAGGAAATGCCCGTGGCAACGATAGTCTGGATTAAAAAAAAATAAATAACAGAAGGTATTTTTTTTATTTACTTAGCCTACACACACACACACACACACACACACACACACACGATATGTGGACAATACAATATAGGAGATAACATATTAAATTAAGATAAAACCATAAGAAAATCACCATAATACAGGTAGTCCTCGATTTACAACAGTTCATTTAGTGACCATTCAAAGTTACAGTGGCACTGAAAAAAAGAGACTTGTGAGCGTTTTTCACAGTTACGACCTTCGTAGCATTCCTACGATCATGTGATC